TGGAACTGCTGGCCGCCGAGCGTCCGCATGTCGTCATCACCGATGTCGAGATGCCCGGCATCGACGGCTTCGAGCTGACCCGCCAGGTGCGCGCCCACCCGGCCTGGTCGGACCTGCCCGTGCTGATGATCACCTCCTCCGACGACAAGCGCGAACAGGCCGACGCGGCCGGCGTGACCCAGCTGCTGGGCAAGCCCTACTCGGAAGAAGCCCTCATCGCCGCCATCGAGAAGGCCCGTCTGGCCGTGCGCGTGCCGGCCTGACGACCCGCACCTTGCGGAAGCGCCAGCTCGACCTCATGCCGCCTTTGCCGCATCTGGCCTTTGCTGGCGGCTGCGGCCCGACCGCGTCATCCTTCAGCGTGCTCGCATGACCTCGCCCGACGACGCTGGCTGCTGGATGGAGCTCGTCCGGCCCTCGGTCCTGTCGCCGCGGCTCGTGCTGCGCACCAACTTCGGTCTGGAACAGGACTTCCAGCTCACCTACCGGGCCCGTCACACGGAAGCCTCCCCTGCGGCGGGAGGCGGACTTCGCCTTCGCACCGACGGGGGCCGGCTGATCCAGCAGGGCGACCTGCGTGGCGATGTCAAGCGAGCGCTGCTGACCCCTTCGGGCGTGTCGTGGGCCGGTACTCCCCTCCTCACCTTCGAGGTCGAGAAGAGCAGCGCGGTGGACCATTGGAGCGTCCGCATCGGTCATGTGCCCAGCGGCGAGGCCGGCGTCATCCGCTGCGACGCCGCATGCGGCATCAACCTGCACACCCGATGCCGGTTGGCGTGGCCCGCAGTGCCGGCAGCACCCACGGTGGTCCTCGCTGCCTTGATGTACTGGTGGACGCGACTCGAGAACGACCGCATTTCAGACTAGGGGCGGGGCCGATGGCCATCGCCACAGCGCCCCACAAGCGCTATCGTCAGGCGCCCCACGAGGTCGCCATGGAATTCCAACGCTTCACCGCCCCTGACGCCGCCGCCCACGAGGCCGCCATCGCCGAGCAGCGCGCCCGGCTCGCCGCCGCGCAGGACGACCTGACGCGGTTCGAC